CCCCCAACCAGAGCAGTACTACTGACTGAAGCTGTCTTTCGGCCATTCCCAAAGGAGGGATTTTAACATGTAAAAGGGCTGATTTATCAATGTCAAGCTCATACTGTGCTGGAACAGCATAGGGGGAACTGCTGCTTTTTCTTTCCTCATGCTTACTATCGTCATTTTCGCTCTACTTCGTTTTTATGTTTTTCACTCTCTTGTGGACTGCCATTTCCGGGGTGCCTTGATAGTCGAGCCTGATTCCCCGTTTGGATTTCTCTGTTGACATCAACCCCTTGGCGCTCATATGACCTTATAGCAGTTGCGAGTGCCGTAATAAAAAAAAACAACTAAAAACTAAAGCCTTGAAAACAAATCTTTTCAAGAGCGAGAGAGGCCTGTTTCATTCCTTTAACGATACATGTTTTATTTCACCAACATTCTGGATTTTGTTGTGTTCTATTCAAGAGAGATGGATATTTATTGCATTAGAAGAAAGGCACGACTTGCTGCAGACAGACACCTGTGTCTCTCCGCGACACCCCAGGGTACAAGCGGAAGAAAAAAGTAAGTAAAGTAAGTAGAAGCAAGGCAAATAAATCAGCTTTCAGATGATACCAATTATCCCACATGGCCAAAAACTGACGAGCGCCTGATCCCAATACGTTGTGACATATATTATTACAGTATTTTGAAAAGCAATAAAAATAATTTCCCAAAGGTTAAGCTAAGAAGTACGTTATCATTTATAGAGCTGATGCGACCCAAACCACAGATTAGAAAACTGGGATTTTTTTAAATTTCAAAATTTTGGGTTGAGTACATTTGTACAGCTGGACGGCAAAATTCAAACTCAAAATGTTGAAATGGGCAAGAAAAGATACACAGGCAAACACAAGGCCCAATTGTTAAAAAAGAATGACCTTATTGTGTTGCTAGTGCAGCAAAAAACGCTTATCAATACAAATAAACAAAACAAAAAAATCGAAACAAAACATAAACAATAAAAACATAGAAAAAAACATACAAAACAAAACAGAGCTTTAGAACAGCTTGCTACCAATTTGATTTCCTCACTGAGAAATCTCGACATCCCAGGCTTGTTGTATCTGTGTGGAGACAATATATATA